ATCAATCGACGAGATATGTACGAGGTCCCTATAATTCGTTACGTGCGATCGACCTTCGACTCATCGAGTGGCTTCGCTGATCGTCAATTTGGCTGACGTGTTCGGCTCGATGTATGCTGTTTTATTAAATCGATCAGCAAACGTATCCTCCCTTTTCGTCTTCGATTTCCGCGCGACGTTGCCGTCTTTTTCTTCTGAATCATCTTGTCTATTATCTTTCGTCTTGAGTCATCATCAGAGACAATACGATTTCAAGATTAAAATTCATATATTTTTAACATATATATATTCTTCAATTGTAATTACGTGTTTAAGAAAAAAAATACGAAGAGCTAATTGTAGGTTAGAAAATCCTCTTTGAGTAATTTTAAAACGATGAATAAATTAACTTGAAAAAAAGAAAGTGTCACGAGAGTTCTAAAAAAACATTTTTATTACTTCGTGTAGGATATGATAAGAAATAAACAAATATTACACACAAATAACCGAACATATATATATATATATAAATAATACAAAATCTTAATCCCAGGTCTGAGCTATAAGAAGGAAGCCAGAAGGATTGCGCTTCGTCCTGAGTTAATTAAAAGATTTCTCATCCTCCGTCGATCATCTTCCTCGATCAAAGAAAAATAAGAGAGGCTCTTGATATTAATTGACACTTGGAAAAAACTAGTAACCCAAAGCTAAAAACAAAGAAACGAAAAAAAAAAAAAAAAGGCCCGATATCCAACGAAACAACGTAACAAAAGAAGAGAGAAGGGAGAAGGGAAAAATGAAAAGGGAGAGGGAGAGGGGAAATAGTGAAATGGTTGCATGTAGTGTGTGTGTATTTGATCGTCGCGTAGTTGGAATTAAAAGCTTCGACATAGAAGAAGAAGCGAGAAAGAGAAAGACAGGAAGGCTAACTGTGCGCGAGCACAAGCGGGGAATGGGGGCGCGGGAGATGCGTCACCGGGGAGGTGGTGGCTACCACCCTCGCCCTCCGTGGCTCTTTTGAAGGTCAAGGTTTCCCGCCCCTCTCTGTCTACATACGTATACGTATACGTATGTGTACGTGTGTATGTGACGGGCAAGAGGATTACGAGGGGGTGAGGAGGGAGGTTGCAGGCGTAGAAGTGTTGGTGAACAAGGACGAGGCGAGGGGTAGATCGGAGTATGCGTGGGTGGCCGGGGGTGTGTGCCAGGGGTGGCGAGAGCCCGGTGCCCAGTATTTATAGCGCTTGCGAACCGGTCGATAGCGGATAGCGACACTGCGCAGTTGGGAAGCCCTCGTACCGAACTCGAAACCCCCTTCTCACCGCGCCTACTCTCTCCATTCTGTCCTTGTCCCTCGCTATCTCTCTCAGAGCCTAGCTTCGCCACCCTGCGTTCACCCTTTACCCGACCTCTTACTTGCTCGACCACCCCTTTCGTATCAAGGCTTTTTCCTCCCTCTTTCTTGTGTATACATTTTCCATCTTCCTCTTTTTTTTCTTTTTTTTTTTTTTCCTTTTTTTCTCTCTCTCTCTCTCTCGCCTCTATGTTCTGTTCTATCAATCTTCCCTCTTTAAACTTAATTTTTTTTTTTCCGGTAATATCATCGCAATAGGCGAACAGAGAAAGGGAAAAAGAGAGAAGATTTTCCTCCGGGATATTAGTCATGGATATATAACGCGGTGGGATGTACCGCTCCGGGGGACGCGGAATGGTCGATATTGATATTGATTGGAAGTTTTTAACGGCCGAGAGTTTAGAAGTTGCGCCTTACCGAGCGTCACGGAGAGAAATCGCCATGGAGATCGTGTTTCGTCCGATGGATCGGGCAATCGCGTGACCAGTCGAATGTTTTCAGGTTTCCTCGCTAAATTATCTCGGTTAGATCTATTCTCTTTATCTGGAGTATTTTTTCAGTCCGAAATTGAGAACCTTCTTCTCGTTCCTTTTTTTTTTTTTTTTTCCTTCATTTCATAACGGCCAGTGTCCAGGATGAACAAAGATATTACACTTATGAAAACATTCGCGCTCTTGCAAATGGGCGTCTCTTAAGCGACGTGTAGTGTATCGTCTGTTTTATGCGCATCCTAAGTATAGGAAGCTCCAGTCTATTTTCGCGGTAATTCATGATATACGCTATCGGAAAGTAAGCGTTGACTGATGGCGCTAAATAAAGCCGACGGATTATCGAGTGCAAGACTATTATAAGTATCATTCGACACGTTTGTGCACATTCATTGGTGGAAAAAAAATAGTTAATGGACTTAGCGGAGTGGACTTAAATAATATTAACAAATTAGTAACCTCAATTTATAAACTTTTTTTTTTTTTTTTGTAAAAAGTTGAACCTGTAATTCTTCAAAAAATAATTTGATATCCGAATAGTGTAATAATCGAAATTCATCTGTACTTAAAATTATTTTTTTAAAAAATTAGTATTGAACGTACTTCATCCGAAGATTTATTAACCTAACTGTATTTAAAATATTCACGTTGATTTTCCACGGATAAGCCTGTGAGAGAAGTGAGCCAGAAGTGAGAAATTGGTTAAGGACAATTGAAGAAATAAAAAAGGAATAGATAAGAAAAAAGTCGAAGCTAATGGAAAAAGAAAAACAGGAATCTCGACAGACGGAAAAGCGAGAGAAAGAAAAAAAAAAAAAGAGATGAGTGTATCGTTAGATAAAGAAACTTGTCTGGGGAAAAAAGCACGAGAAAGCGAAATATTAACGTATGTACCTGCTACAGAAAGCAGGAAGGAGAAAGATGAAACGGAATGGTGGAAGATGACGAAACAGAGGTAGAGTATGAGTGAAACAACGAAGAGGAGAAAAGGGAGGTCAGAGGGTTGCCGAGCACCGCCCCTATCATGGTGGGGGTGGATCTATTGCCATCTTCGTCCGACATGCCAGGAGGGTTGGTATCCCTACTCGTCGCCTTCACCATGAACCAGGAAAAGACAGTCTTTCAAGGGGAAGAATAGACAAGGATAAACGAAGCGTGGGCGTTTCTATAGAGGAAGATGGAAGCTGCTTAACACGAGAGAGAGGCAAGATGGTTGGTGATCGGTGGCTAGATAGGAAAAAGAGGGATAGAGAGTGAAAAGAGGGTGTAAGAGAGACAATGGAGAGAGGGGAAGGTTCCGTGCGTTTCGTTGGAGAACTCTAACTACCGGCCGACCGTAAAGGTCGTCGTTGCGTTTCTCTCTCTCTCTCTCTCTCTCTCTCTCTCTCTCTCTCTCTCTCTCTCTCTCTCTCTCTCTCTCTCTCTCTCTCTCTCTCTCTCTCTCTCTCTCTCTCTCTCTCTCTCTCTCTCTCTCTCTCTCTCTCTCTCTCTCTCTCTCTCTCTCTCTCTCTCTCTCTCTCTCTCTCTCTCTCTCTCTCTCTCTCTCTCTCTCTCTCTCTCTCTCTACTCCCCCCTCTTCTCGCTTCTCTTTTTCCTATCCGTGGTCGTTTTCCATCGAGTCGCCGCGTCCTTTAACGACGAACCAGCTGGTGGCGACCGTTAGCGACGTGCTGCTGGGATTCAGTACGTCGTGTACTGCTCTCCACGAGGTGCACCAAGTGTTACCGGTTGAGATTTACCTTTCACGGAAGTATAGTAGTATCGCTTCGAGATCGTTGAAAGTGTATCGAAACGATAGTGGTTAGGATGAAAGGAGAAAATGAACAGAATCGGAAGGAAATCGGTTAGGAAGAAAAACGGTTTAAGAGAGAAGATTGAGGAGAAAAATTGGAATTGCATTCCATGGGAACGCGGCAATCTTGTGGGAAATGTGCCATTTTCTATCTTTCTCTGGTGGCAAGAAAATTTAAAGGGATCTGGCGAGAGGATGTGGCGGGAGGGGTTAGGACTATGTGTTGGGGCGGTGAAGGTGAGAGGGCAGTTAAAGGATGAAATAGAGTGGGAAGTAGGGATGACGGGGAAATTGAGTCTGTTTCCTTGTATCCCGTTCGCCGAGCCCCGTGCCATTAGTTGACCATGAAGGCGTATGGTTGCGTATCTCTCTCTCCCTATGGGGAGACCAGCTGACAGATCCGTTCAAGTGAAACAAATTTGCCACGTCGATTTTTATTTCGAGTGAACGTCGTCGAGTGTTCGTCGTCGATTTATTGTACATTTAAATGTAATTAACAACGAAAATATAACGGTAATCATCGTTCAAAAAAAAAAAAAGGAAGGCGAGCGGAAACGAGGCAAGCTACAACAAAACGGAGAAAAAAAAAAGAAAAGAACACTTCTTAATTGCGAGAAGACGAGATGGATATTTTTAATGAATTTTTTATTAATACCGGTTCCACCTGGGCACCGCATTAAGTCCAATTAGCCGACACAAAAGCGGAAAAATCCTGGTCTCAACGATCTTTTTTATTAGTATCGCACAAAGGAAGGAACGCAACCCCTGTCGTTTCGGTATTTAAAGAAACATACGTATATTTCACCGAGCGAGAAAAGGATAAATAAGTATTATTTTGGGGAGGAAAGGGACAGAGGATGACGAAGATTTCTCGGAACGTGTGTGGGAGTATATATATCCCTATCCGATGGCGGGGAGTTCGCCAGGACCAGCCAGCGAAAACCACCCCTCTCACCCCTTTCCAGGAGAGAAACGAAAACATAGAGGGAGCTAGAGTGCGACAGGTGGAGAACAAGGATGGGATGCTAGCACAGAGGGGAGGAGGACTGAGCATTTCGGGGTAGCGAAGGAGAAGGAGAGAGGCAGCTAGTTGTGTGACGAGCAAGAGAGCGATAAAGAGGAGGTGGTGAAGAAGGGCGGCTGGTGATCGGCGGGCGAGAGGGGAAAAGTTAGAGGGTGAGAGTTAGGGCGGCGGAGTGGGGGAATAGAGGCAGGTTCCGTGCGTTTCGTTGGAGAACTCGTACCACTGGGTGACCGTAAAGGTCGTCGTTGCTCTCTCTCTCTTTCTCTCCATCGGTACATAGAAGTCTAGCAGCTGGCAGCAACGTCAGCAACGAGGAACGGATCAGTCCACCGTGTGCCAGCCTCGAGGTCCGTGTCTTCTTTCTCTCTCTTCTCTCTTCTCTCTCTTTCTCTCCCTTTCTCTCCCTTCCTCTCTCTCTCTCTCTCTCTTTCTTTCTCTCTCTTTCTGTCTGGATCCTTTGATCATCGTTCGCGATGTGGAGAGTCTTGCTTCGAATAATACACGATAGATTATCAATATCATACATGATTTTCGAAATCGAGTACGTTTTATTTATCTTATTATTTCTTACTTTTCCACTTTATTATTCGTTTATTTTTCACCGTGTCACAAACAAGTATTTGAAGTTCTTTCGGAGAAGAAGGATGAAACGAAAGGAAATATACACGAAGAAAATTCACAAGATACCGTTTGAGAATTGAGAAGTTAAAGAAGGGTGTTACGTGATTAGGATTCGATTACAAGACGTTTGGATGAATGATGCAAAGATTGATATATAAAGCAAGGGGATCCGGAAAAAAAGTATTTAAAGGAAATCAGCTGGCAAAGTGACGGGGGCGGCCATCGTTCACGCGATCATGGAATTAGAATCGAGGATTGACCACGGCGATTACCGTGAGTAATTGGAGGAAATTAGAAATTCCGTAGAAATCGATCGTGTAGACGGGGAAATATGTTGTCCTTTCAATCGTTGGTTTCGAATCAAACGACTGATTCGTTATTTCATACGATGCTTATAAGTGTTGTACAGTTCTATTAGATGTTAATCAATTTCTTGATCATTAGAGGCACGTAGATTGTGAATGATATATATGTGTAAAAGTATACATGTTTGCGTTATTTTTATCTCGATGAGATCTGCTGCAATTTCGATAGTTTGTTTTTTTTTTTTTTTTTTTTTTTTTTTTTTTTATTATCCGGTTATCATCCACTCACGTTCTTAACCTCTGGTTTTGTTTGACATGTCTTCTGATGTTACACAACCTGAAAATGGGAATTAAGTGTGTAAATATAAAACGTGCCGCCGTTGACGGGTATTTGCGTTCTATTGTCTTCACGTTTTTGCTTCCCTTTTCCGTCCGATCATGCTCCTTCCTTCCCGTTTTCATCGATCTCGTGACGTCTCAAGATCGTTTAATTCTTCGTTAATATCAATGTGCAGTGTTTCTCGTTGTTCCGTTATCGTGAAATAATTGCTTATCGGTGAAATTAATATTGTTGGACTTTGAATTCATATCAAAAAATCCAAGATACGCGAAAAAGAAACATTTCAGATGACTTTTAAGCCAAATTTCTGCGAAGAAGTTTCGTAAAAAAAAATTATTCGTATTCAGTATTGGATAAAGTTTCTATTCCCTCGATGCACGCGGCAAGATTGAAGTCACGTTTTTAGCAAAACGATTGGCGAATGTAGAACTTTGCACGCTTTACACGTATCGCGTTTTTTACTTAAAAATAAATAACGAGAAGTAACGAGAATAATTGCGCGAGCTAGTCTATCGTCGAACGTTTTACGAGCTTGTCGACCAAGCGAATCGTGTGCATAATATTGCATACTTAAAATGTACACTGAGTCACGTAGACGAAAGACATTTCATTAATTCACGCAAATTCGATGTGAACAATGAGATACATACAAATTAGGCCCATCCCTGAACAATTTCTCGTACGAGCATATTGATGGCCAAGTACCGTTCGCCAGCCACGAAATAATAACTAAAAATCAATGTATTCTCTTAAGAAATACTAAAGAAAAATATTATTCAATTTTTAAATATTTTATATTTCGTGTATATAAAAAATAAAAAATTACTTTATATATTTAGAAACATTCGTTGAAAATAATCTTTTTAATGTTATAAAATTGACATTTTTTTTTTAAATCAACTTATCCACAATGTTACCGTTGCGATGCAATTTCATTTCGGTGGATGTCTGTTATTTCATGCCTTACTACTGAATTATAGTGTCGTATTACCGCCCTCTATTCCCGGTTACGTTCCACGGTTTATATTTGACATGTGTAATCTAAGAAAATCGTCATTCTGATCGAGATCGCAAAGAAGTTCAAAAGTATGTTTGAAATTGCCGCGTCACGCGGACAGGTCCATTGCAATCATCGCCACGATGATGCAGTTGAGATCTTATTGGTCGATTCCCTACAGCAATGGCGTAGGGAATATGAGGTGCCTCATACAAGGACGAATTATGCAATTGGAACGAGATACGGTTCACCGTCACTAATAACAAATTATTGTTTGAGTGCGAACGAAAATCAGGTGACTCGGAGTGATATATTGAAGTATCTGTTCTCATAATACAATATAACGTCGAATGTAACTTCACGTTGGTAGTTTCAAGGACAGTTTGTTTACAAATTGTAGATCGTAATTCAAGACAGACGGATAATTGATCTGTGTATGATATAATTGAGTTTCCGGTATTTTTTTTTTAATTATACTGATCTTAAATTTGAATTTCGTTAAATTTTATATGGAAAATTAATTTAATGTCACCAGAAAATAAATCAATATAATAAAATAAAAGCAAAAAACAATATTTCAACTGATTGAAAAGAAAATATGTTCAAACATGAAATTTTTTATATATTTACAAAAAGAAAAAATGCAAAAAAAACAGAGAAACAAAAATATAAGTTTCTCCTCGGCAATTATATACCTACCGCAAGCTTACGTGTTCAACAAACTAGCCACAAGTGCACATGTGAGAGAAAATGCATTCGCACACATACGTATTTATACGTAGTTATACGTATTCTCTAATGAATGTTCAAGCCCTCCTCGTCGCCTATATGGGCGAGTTTCGCGAGTGTCGGATCGACGATAAATTCGTATCGTGAATCAAATGCGATTGGTTGGCTGACAGTGACGTCAAACGGCCGGTGGGCAGCCGTCAAGTGGCACGACTGCGTCGCGTTCGTCGGAGATGTGTAAAAATTCGCTTCCTTTTTTCCCCTTCTCTCTTCTTTTCCAATAACTCCATAATCGGAACCTCCCGACTACTACCACAACGACGACGAATTTACCAAAGACTATGAGTCATCTATGGCTGAAGCATCCGT